GTAGAATAGCTCAATGGCTACATGGTAATGAACTTTCCTGACCAGCCGAGACCTCGCTTAAGCATAACCTGGATATCAGATCCCCAAAAACGGGAGGAGAATGAAGATGAGAGTACCCCAGGGTAGCTTAAGCATGGCTGGGATACCACCTAGGCGAGGGAATATTGTCCCAGATGAACAGACTTAGCGGGGAAATATGGAGTGACCATTGTCGAATGTAATCATGTCTGCCATTGTATCAATGTCATTAACACCTTACATTGTCTCCGTATCCATAGTAACGTAATCAACAACACTTTCTTAGCGTCCTCTCGTTTTATGTGTATACGCCCTGTAATGTAGTTAGTTCAGTTAGAATCAAGACGCGCAATAGCCATATCGTCTCTTCTCTGGCTCCGTGTTCTCTGCACGTAAAATAAGACATAACACTGGTTGGAAATGACACGTAATCGATGGATGGATTTGTTAGTGAGTGAACAGCATCAAAGAATCACACAACGATGCGCAATTCTCGTTTCACTAAAAATATATTTCCTTTGCAGATGCGCAATCTATACTTCTCATTCAAAATGGATTTAATGTTATTCCGGCAAGGCGGGAGAACTTTACATACGAAAGGTCGATGATTATATTTCCGGCTAGCCAAGATTCCCGCTTCACCGAAAAAATATTCTCTATATGGAAAGTATCTTAGTAACATTAGACTACAGATCCTTTTATTAATCTTAGCACAAAATGGGAATGATATTTTCTAGGAAACCTATAGAATTTATACAGGAGTAGACAAAGTCCCTCTCTTTATTTAGTTAAATTTGTCTCTCACTAAATAGATTGAGAGAATTGTAGCAAGTCCAACAAATTCTAAGCATTTTGAGGCTTTAAAAACATACTACGGTTCTCCCTCAATATTATCCAGTTTTCACAGCATATAGATTTACACACCTACAACATTTCTCGTGAACATTTCTCTACTTGGATCCTTTTCAAGATACAGCATACAAGGTACAAAAAGCCACTGAAGTAACGATCACCAGGGATTAATTTAAGGGTTAAGGGACGAGCACGGCTAAGCTAAATGTGACGACAAGTCCGTAATTTCGTTTATAACCCTACATAATAGACAGGGAATTTCGCATAACCATCTATCAAACTGCCTAACCGAAACTTTTTGAGCTTAAGTCATGAAAGTAAAGGCCACCAATCATTTCAAGCCTTGGGAACATTCCGGCAAATGACGGCGAGTGATGTTTAAGGAAGCGTGAAAAATGTACGGTCAGCAAAATTTTAACTTTCGAATTTTTCAAATCTGATGATTTTATCAGGAAGACCTTGCAAAAATGAGTTAAAAATACTAAACCATCATTGTTTCCTGGCGTTATTTGGCGTGCTGAATAGAATAAGATGCAACTCCAACTTAAAAGCATCCAAAAAGCTATTTTTAGACTTTGTATTTGTGCCCAGGCTGCTGTTGTGTATCGCAGTATAACTATGCACGCTCTACAACTGTAACCTTGTTTTTGAAGGACAGTTTGTAACTCTTTTGTTGCAAGAACCAGTAAATTTATGTTCAGGCTGACTGTTCTTATTTTTTCCGAAAATCTGAGGCTGGATTGTTCTTAATTTGTTCTTAAATCAATAGGGTGTAAGCAGTGCGATTGCTAGCTTTTTCGCTCTATGGAGGTGTTCAGGCCTTGTTTGCCAAAAAAGGGAGTGAGACAGCCTTCATTTGCCGACAAGTTTGAGTATTGGGCGAAAAAGTACCCACACATGGCAAAAAATTCTCATGGTAAAACGTTGTTCTAAATTGCATTTTGCAGAAGCTCAGCCTCAGCTTGTTCTTAATTTGTTCTTAAGCTTTGACTAATTTTGAGGCTCGTGTTCTTATCAAATTGTTCTTATATAAAGAAAAGAGTGTATTTGAGATTTGTCTTCCTACGTTTCCGTTGTTTTTTGGCCGTTTCTGCAACATGATGGAATATATCAGCGATCATAAACACGAAACATTTAGTGTTCGAGCTGCATGAAAAGTCGAGGCACGCCATTAAAAACCAACAAGCACGTTTTTTGGCCGACGAGGCACGTCCGTGCCTGTAGGCACGTTAAATTAATGCCTGGACGATCACAATCCACTTAGTTAAAGGCTCTTGTACAACCGGCAAAACACAGTCACAGTCAATATCCCAAGACAACTGCCGCTAAGCATGCCGGTCACGCAAGAGCCTTTAATATTTGTAAGGAATATTTCTATGAATGACGGGCCAGTTGACGAGCATGTTAAAGGGCATGTGTCGTGGACATGATTGGCTAATGCGATACAATTATCTCTTTTGTTTAGTACAAAGCATGTAATCGGGGGTGAATTTTTACGTCACGAAACAATGGAATTCCACCCCAAACGCTTTTGTTTCACTAGCCAACTGCTAATGCGTCATATGTCCTTTAATGTATAGAAAATGCCAGGCACTAAAATAATTTCGGAGTAATCGCATTTGCTTTTGTATTGAAACGATTGACTTTTGACCCTAACGCTTTTAATGGCGCATGGGCATACATATCAAGTGATTGTAAACCTGGTAATGCAATACAACTATGTTTTTTGTTTAGTACAAAACATGAAATCGGGGATGAATTTTCATGGCAGTAGAAATTCAAGAAGCATAAATATACACTCACGAAACAATGGAATTCCCCTCCAAACGCTTTTGTTGTAGAAACGGTAAACAGTGCGGAAAGTTTCCGCCCATCAATTTCCACTAGGCTTCCTTTCCATTTCCATTTCGTGCAATGAAACACACCCGAGGAAGGGAAAGAAGGCATGTTTATGTTAAACAACTTTATGATGCTCTTCGTTTGAAAAATTAAAAGAGAGAGAAATGTGAAAAGAGCATTTGGGTGAACCATGTTTCAAGAAAAAAGCAGAAAAGAAAGTTCCCCTTAGGGAACTATGTAATTTCAAGTGTTGCAATGAAAAATAAAAGAGGGGCCTTCTCTAAAAGAATAGCAAAAAGTAGAAAAAGGGTTCCTTATTGGAATTTACAAGGGGGGGGGGGTAACCTCAGTAATACTATTTCAAGTATTTCAGAATGACAGTGACTCAGTTCGAAGCACAGCTTTTTGCTGAAGTTATGACGCAATGCCTCGAGCATGATTGGTTGAGTGGTCAAACGGTGCGAATTCCGTGGAAAAAGGTTGCCTTGATTTCAACTTTCAAAAATGGAAAGCGGTACGGTAAGCGTGCCGTTCTTGAATGTCAAAATATCTTCTGCGCATGCTTGTACCGTATACCGTTTCCCGCCCATACCGTGAAGTAGAAATTTCTCGCGAAGAATTTCTCTGCGAAAAAAATTTAGAATGAGTCTGCGAAAAAATCGTTTTTCGCTTGCGAAATTCTTCAACAGCCAATCATATTCCGTATTCCTTTGTCACGCTTCCAAACTTGACATTCCAATGTCGTCAGGTCAACAAAAGCATTCAAAGGCATTTGTCGCGGGAAGTATTTCGCAGCGAAATTTCGCAGGACTTTTTCTTACTGGAGATTGGGGCTTACCTTTCAGACTCGGGGGGCGGAGAGTCGTCAATACGTCACAGTCGTATGGTAAGAAAAAGAGACGTGCTTCGATTGTTGCGGAGTGGTCAAAGAAGCACGCAAAGGTGATGGAACTGGAATGAATGAATTGATTGGTCTAGCATGAAAATTATAATTGTTACTACACCTCTACATTGCTGAAAATAAAACGTAAATAAATAAATTTCACATCAGTACACTTTTCAACTTTCCCCCAGTTTATAGGAAAATCAGCTGCAACCCCATTTTCAGATTGGGAATAGAACCCCAATAGGTTGGGAATGGAGAGGTAAAACCTCTTTGACATTGGTTCGCAAAGTTTCTCCTTCTATCTTTATGATGAGATGTCACTGGAATTGCTATTTACTTTCATTTAATGAATGAGTTTGGAATTCGCTCTTTCTTTATGAGAATAATTTAATTATTTCCAGCTTCTAAAGTCTTAAAAAAATTTCGTTTTAAGCCTGAACATATTCTCTTTGTATTCCTATTTTTTCAAATCTTATATGGCTTCAGGGGAACATCGCCCACTCTTGATTAAAAACCAAGATATGTCAGTTCTGCGATTCCCTGTTTTGAACATCGCAACACAGGCAAGTGGTGAAAAATGGGACACAGATATGCGAGTTGAGGCTGAGCTATATTCTTACAATATTCTTGCAATATTCTTGCAATATTCTTACAATATTCTTACAAAATTCTTGCAATATTCTTACAATATTTTTGCAATATTCATAAAAATTAAATGGCATACTTGCAAATTGACGTTATCAAAAGTCTGTTTTTAGAATTTTAGAGTTCTGAGCCCCATATCCTGAAAAAACACCACAAAATACCTTTAATCAGTTGTATCTGTTGCAAATTAACTGAGATTTTGCTATACAAGCGTGGGTTATTTCCCCAATCAAACCACTGTAAATTTGCCCTTATTCTTAACTTTATGAGCCAGGCAAAAACGGTTATCCATTACCAAAATCTATGTCTACATTACTGGCCATATTTTGGTCCTTTTCGAGCAGTTTCAACTGATTTTGCACATTTAGAGGTATTTTGACCTGTTCTATTAGGTTATTGGGCCAGAATTCCAAGACTCTAAAAATAATATTTTGATGACTTCACTTCATTCTTATAACAAAAAAGAGTGTGTTCCAGTGGCTTGCATTGACAAAAACGTCTCCGGCAAACAATAGACAAAAGAAAGCGTTTCCTTTCCTCCTCCGCATCTCACATGCAACCATTTCTAAGCAGCACTGGTACAGCATAGCCAATCATTATGCAATTTCCTGATTTCCATTGAACTGAATATCAAGCTGCATAATTACCTTAACGTCGTCATACGATAGACTGTAACCGTAAATGCTATACCCCCGTTTTTGCTGGCATAAAATGGTTTATACGTCAAGGAAGCCACAACTCCCTAACAAAGTCTGCTATAAAAGAAAGATTAACAACCCTGCCTTGAAAATTCCACTTAACACCGCAGCGGAGGAACGCACACCAACGAGGATTTTTAGAGAAGAGTAAAGATTAAGTGTGTAAATGCTAATATTTTCATTTGGAAAGACAAATACAAGTGAAAGAGAACAGTATTAAAAAACTCTATTCAAGGAAATTGGATTTATTGACGTAAGAAGGATTGCATCGTTTGGAAGATATCAAAATGGTTTATAAATCCAAACGAGTGTCAACTGACGTATGTCGGATTCTAATTCTCACAAGCATTGTGGTGCCTTTACTAGGTGACAAAATCTTGCTTGTGCCCTTTCCTTGGCCAAGCCACTATAAACTATTGGAGACAATTGGAGAAGAATTAAAAAAGAGAAATCACGATGTCGTTATGGTCATACCTTCAACGGAAACTTATCGCAATAACTCTCACCTGAAAACTGTTGACTACAAGGTGCCAAAAATTGGAAACAACACCTTTGTCAGAATTGCAGAGAAAAGACTGGAGACAGCGGCTGGATTTGGCGTGAACTGGCTGGTGGAGTATGTTACGCTTTTAGAAAAAATTGGCCGTGCTTTGATGGAGGAGAATGCCGTTATGAAGATAGCTCAAGAAGCGGATATAATCATTTCCGATACTGCTTTCCTGGTTGCCCCAATTTTCGCCGATTACCACAAACTGCCTTTGGTTTTTGTTTCCCCATTCGGGCACCTGCCTGGCTGTATGGCAGACACGTTTGGTAATATAGAGAACCCAGCATTGGTACCAACATTTGTAGCAACTGCCTTGTTCGAAGGAATTGGACTGCCACAACGAATGAACTTTCTACAACGCAGTTTCAATTTCATGTCGAACATAATCAGCAAAATCTTGAGAGATCTTATAACCTTACCAATACTGCGCCCGTTGACCAAGCGATACTCGTCAAAGACGCTGCTACAGCTATGGAGTGAGGTACCACTCGTGCTCATTCCGATGGATTATTCCCTGGAGTATCCTCGCCCCGATCTACCGCACGTTAAAATGATCGGGCCATTGTCTCCAAAAGAAAATTCAAGTCCATTGCCGGATCCATTCAGAAATATAGTAAAGGAAGCTCAGAACGGAATAATCATTGTTTCTTTTGGGATAACGAACAATCTCCATTCTAGGGACACTTTGCGTATATTGGAAAGCTTGATGGCTCTTAAATACAGCATTGTATGGAAGTATAACACGACAAAGGTTGAAAATATGATACATGAGTACGGTTCAAAGAAACATCGTATTCAGAAGAACAAAGCGTTTTGTGAAAACGGACTACAAGAATGCAGATCATGTAATAACGACTCGCAGCGAAGCAACAGAAACATGAACTGTTCGATAACCTGTACTTTGACGCCGTGTAAATCCCCGTCCTTTCTCAAAGTTGGTGATAATGTTTACATCTACGACTGGATACCTCAGCAGCATTTACTGCAACATAAAAAGACAAAGTTGTTCGTTACTCACTGTGGTTTGAACAGCTTGTACGAAGCACTTTACCACAATACACAAGTGCTATGTGTGCCCCTTTTTGGAGAGCAGTTTGACAGTGCTGGTAGAGTTGTTAGTAGAAATATTGGAAAAGCGATGAGGTTAAAGGATCTCAACACAGAAACTTTGCAAGACGCCGTGTACGATTTAACACACAATCGTGTTTACATTGAGAATGTTAAGAAAATTGCTCTTAGACTCCGGCGTTCGAAGGTAAGCCCAGCTGAAAAAGCCGCATATTGGATCGAGTATGTTCTGGCTGAAAATGGGGATATGGGTTTCTTAAAGCCACCAGACATTCCGTATTACCAATTTCTGCTACTGGACATTATCTTGTTTTGGGGCATGGCCATTGTACTTTCTGCTTGGCTCCTTTTCAAGATACAGCATGCAAGGTACAAAAAGCCATTGATGTAACAAGCCACTTGTTCATATGAACTTGAACTTTATCTATCTTAGGAAAGTATGCATTCATAGAAATATTGTTTATAATTGGTAATGTATATAACATTTGCCTGGTACTAAAATAATTTCGGACAAATCGAAGCTGGTTTGGTATTGAAAATAGTGACCCCTGACCCGCGTTTAATGGACGTATGGCCAAATAAAACGCCGGCATTCACTTTACAACAATCAGGCAACTGAGTCTTATTCTTCTTAAACAATATGTTTTTTTCTTGAAATATAATCCCCCTCTCTGTAGCGCTTTCTTTAAGCTAAACATAAAACGAAATTATGCCCAAACCTACTGTTCTGTACCCCTCTTTTGTTCTGTTTTGCAAATAAACAAAAAGCATATTGCATGGAGGATTTCAAATATCGATTTTATCAAATACTGATTTCCGACCACAATAGGTAATGTATAAAAAAGTGACGAATACATGAACCATCGTTATTAGAATATTTTAAGAAACACCCATTCAATTTGTTTAAAATGTTGGTTTAGATGATCAAGAATCTGGCATTCTTAGAAATTTTATTTCGGTTATTTGTAAAATTACTTAAAACTACATACACAACAAGTCAAAAGACAGGTGGTTGTCCTTTTTTGTCATAGTCTACTGATCTTCACTGGGACATTATATTTTGGGATGGATACTCAAAAGGAACCAATTAGACCACTTTGAAAGAACCCTCACACTTGCGTACATCAAATTTCTGAAAATATGTACCCCGATTTATATTGAACCTTACAAAGATTTTATAAGGAAGGGAAATATTCCATTATGCTCCCTTCTTTAAAACAAACAAAGTTTGAAACGCTCAACTATTCAAAAATCGATTCCATCAATGTAACCATGGCATTAGCGATTCAATGAATCAACAAGAAAAGACTAAATTGAAATGAATTCGATAAATCGAAACAAATTCGGCACATCGAAATAATTTCGATAAATCTGAACGTACAAACGCGGTTAACCGAGGGGCAAAAAGGAATCGCAAACGCAAAGAAGGTCTTCAAAGGCGCAGTTGAGGCGGATTTAATATACATTATCCAAGAAATAAGATATAGAGATTTGCAGAAACGAAGCTACGGTTTCAGATTCAAACTACGATTTCAACATTTTCTTTACACGACCACGCTTCCTGTGTGTAGGTCACAAATGAAAAGTTTTCAATTCACGACAAACTGTGAAGAATGAATAATTTGTTCCTTGCAAACGGCATTGCCTTGAAGACCTAATTTTCCAAAGAAAACACAAAATAACAATATAATATCCTCAAAGATGTCACCCACATTCCCTTGCTGTAAAGGTTAACAATGCTGTGAACTCAATATTATTGCTACGCTGATTTTCATTACAATCGAGTACAATTATTTTGAAATATTTCGAGTACAATTTTCAAAAGCAAGAAAACTAAATTTTAAATGACAATAATGGTTCTAGTTATTTTGACGTACATATGATTTTCACTGCACTAGGGCAACCCTGCTCGACTTGCAGAGAACCCTGTGGCTTTGTGGCAGGGGGCTAGGGGGCCATGTCCTCTGAATATGGGCGCAAATGGAAGATAAGGGGGCGAAAAAATTGTTTGCTTGTAATATTTGGCTAGAAACATCAAAATTGATGGTACACGGGTAGAACACTTCGCTGTAACTTGCTGTGAACAATCTAATAAAACGTGTGATTCTACAATCGAAGCACGTTGCGCTGCCATGATCCAATCAACATTTGTGTCATATGTTATCGTTTTAACTATGTACTTGAATTCATGTTAAGCAAGCCAACTAATGAAGATTGCCAAAAATGTTGTCTATTATAGTAATTTGTTAAGTTTGGGAGATGCATTTTTAGCCATTCTAGAATGCTTAATTTCAAAAATTTTCTTACGCCCCTCCCAAACTTTATTCTTAGTCCCCCTCCCAGATTCAATTTTGTGCCACCCCGTCTCTGTCTGATTCAATGGTGCAAATTAAATGCTTGAAACTTTCAAGTTGTTGAAAGAACTAAATTGCTAAAGAACTACTCATAAATTCTGAGCCATGTTTGTATGTCATACATCACAAATATGAAGACACAAGGCTGATAAAATCGCCCGAAAGCAGTGGCGTAATGGACAAAGGTTACTTTTCTTTAAAAAACTAAGGAAAAATTTGCTCTATGTTATTTAACTTTGAAACTGGTTTCTTGATAAAATGAAATAAACGGGTTCAAGCCTGTATGAAACATCAGTGTAAATGAATAGAATGTCTTGATTAGTACTTTATGTTTCGCCTAGCGAATTTCCTCGAAAATAAGTTGACCCTTAAAAATAACCCAATTCAAAATAGCTGGATATTTGACCGAACCACGATCAAGAAGGTCAAATGTTAGGATTACATAATTTCTTCCATTCATACTCGAATTTTTAATCAAAACTTATTCATGAAGTTTTGAATTCAAGTTGCAAAATTTACTTTTCTTCTCGAAACACGTGCTTTTGTATAATCCATGAAGATAGATAGGGCGCAGAAATCGACTTTGCCACCCCAGGGTAAACATGGCCACCCCCAAGGTAAACATGGCCACCCCCAGGGTAAACATGGCCACCCCCAGGGTAAACATGGCCACCCCCAGGGTAAACATGGCCACCCCCAGGGTAAACATGGCCACCCCAGGGTAAACATGGCCACCCCCATGGTAAACATGGCCACCCCCAGGATAAACATGGCCAACCCCAGGGTAAACATGGCCAACCCCAGGGTAAACATAGCTACCCCGCCACTGCTATCTGATGTGCACTCACGCGAAGCTGAACAGATTCGGCGATCGACCGTCGATAATGACGACCTGACCAAAAATGCTTCGATTTTTGCACTTCAATTTTGATAGATAAGATACGATCTGCTACAGGAAACTCGCCTTGGTTGATATACTAATATCCAATGTTTATAAAAAATTGGTATCCTGGGCAAATTTTTTTTGTCCTTCAATGCATGCACAAAATTGGTCTAGTCGTAGTCTTTTTAAATTCCAATTTACTAACTGCTTTCATTTCAAGTTTGGAAAATATTTCAATTCCAGAAAATTTAGTGACTATTCTGACAAATTTGGATAGGTACTGAAGTGATATTCATATTTTACAGACAATTTAGCAACAAATGTAATTGTTATCTCCGATTAACGATTTATGGGTAAATATTGAGATAATTAAAGGGCATGTGTCGTGAACATGATTGGCTAATGCAATACAATTATCTCTTTGGGTTAGTACAAAGCATGGAATCGAGGGTGAATTTTTACGGCACTAAAAATTAATAAGAATTCACAAAACACTTTAATTCCACTCTACACGATTTTGTTCTATTAGCCAACTACTAATACGGCATATGCCCTTTAAAACATTTAGGGACAAATTCTGGAATAGATTTTCAGGGATAATATATCCATTGTCCTGAAAATTTGGGGACTTGTTTGGGGACATGTTATTTTAATCTTGTGTCTTCTTCGTGATAAAATTAATTTAATAAACTAGATCCCCGCTAAGCATAAAGCCAGGTAATGGAAGGTATTGTATGATGCCAATTTGATATACCTTTATACCTGATATGCCTTTGTTTGGTTTAATGCATTCCAAGGGTGACTACTCCCACTGCGCAGTCCAGGCTAATCTCTGCTAATCCTCAAATGTTTTCAAAGCAAAATTTCTACGAACCCAAGAAAACACAAGGCAGCTATCCTATACCTATCTACTCCTCCCCCAAAATAACCTTTGTCAAACCTCGTAAAATAATCGAAGTACCCCTTGGTCGAAAATAAGAAATTCTCATGACTTGAAGAAGGATCTTCAAAAACTCACTTCCATTGACCAGGCCTATAAATTTAAGTGAATACAAAAGCTCTGTTCAAACAGTCAAACGATGTTTCAATCTTATTTCTCCCAGCAAATACTATTCGTTTAAAGAACCGTAAACAAAGACACCCTAGAAGTCGCGGCAGGCAAGGATCCAAAAAACAGCACCAGGGCAACTAGGCCTTTACAAAGTGAAATAACAGCTCGTCTGCTCGATCTTTCCTGCTTGGTCTTTGAGTAAACAGCCAAACTTTGATACAAACAACAGTTAAACATGAAAGGTTGTTTACTGTCTCTCTCCGTTTCGTCACAGCAAGTGTAGCTGCGCGATATGAGCTACGATTTCGCAAAAACATTCGTAAGAAATGCGCATGCCTTTCATATACACTTTTTTCTAACTGGCTTTTAACTTCGAGCAGGAAACAAAAGAAAATACCAAAGGTCGTGGCGTTTTCGCCTTTAGAGGCTCTTGCGCCACCGGCAAGTCCCGACTGAGCTATCACCGTTTTTCGTTTGGACGAAAGTTGTAAAATTGTTAAATTGGAGCTTCTATATTCATTTTGATAAATCATTGCATAAATCAAATCAGACCGTTAATTGAATTGGTATTTATTGGGATTTATCGGTTCTATAGGCCTTATGTTTCATAATATCAGACACGGTATGAGTCGACAAAAAACTGACAGAGGAGAGACTTGGGAGAATGAGGATCTTTATTGAATAAAAGTTTTTACAGAGGAAAAAAAAGCAAGCTATAAACTGCTTTGGACGTAAGAAACCAATTTTTCACAAAATAGCGAGAAAGTTAGAGGAGGTACGCAGGGTATATTCGCTCATGTAAACATACCAGGGAGACAGGAAAGTAACAGAAGACCAATACCAAATTGTGCACGAGGGTGCTGAACTAACCCGGGTTCACCCCAGTTTCTTCTTCACATATGCTTTGCGCATATTTCCGTGTGGTAAAAATAGGGCCGGGTGACTAGGGATTTTTTATGAAGGGTGATATCATAAAACTGTGTTCAGAATTTCTGAATTTTCACTGCGAAACCTAGAAGAAGTACATGAAATATCTTTAAAGATGCGAATAAGTTAAACATGTCAAAAATCGGATGTGGTATGACCAATAAAGGATTTACATTTACTAACGGACTAATTTTTTCGGTTATGTTAAGAACAGAGAGACAGAGGTTTGATGGCAAAACAAATGGTTCTCACGTGGTCATACCTCAGCCATAATGTAACAAATGTAACTGATCTTGCATATTTAGAGGTATTTCGTGATATTTAGAGGTATAAGGCCATATATGACCGTTGACACTACTTCTAAAAGCAGTACGTGCACTTTTGATCTTCTTTCTAATCTTCTTTGATATTGCTTTGTTATCATTATCCATTCAATTATTGGTATCCGTAAAACGTTCGGTTGTGACGTTGTGATGATTACGAAATCATAGCTGCCAGGCATGTTAATACCCACGCAATATCCAATCTATGAAATTCTTTGAAGCAGTCGGAAATATGAGAGTAATCGGAAAATCAAGCTTGCAACTGAGTTCTTTAGTGTGATATCACACAAAATATCTTTAGAATTTTTAAATTTTGACAACATAACATAACCAAACTCTATAAAATACATATTCAAAATTACTATATCAAAATGTTCAAAATTATGTTAATAATAAATAAAAAATCGGGTTAGATATGCCCAATAAAAGATTTGAAATTTGCTAATGGATCATTGTTATTTTCGCTC